GTTATAACACAAACAGAACATACACCAACCTCAATGTACAACAAAATTGGGCTGGCATACCAAGGGATATCAACATCTTGTTTTGCCACAGTACTTCTAATAGGATGCCTACCTCTAGTATAGAGTATAGCTATAAAGTAGACACGTGCAATTCGTTTTGGTCCGAATATGAATTCGGACGAATTTCGGGCAATTCGGACACTCGGGTACTTCCGAATGTCCGAATTGCAGAAGTGCCGAGGTCCCGAAGTTCCAAAATTACTGAATTTCCGAAGTGTCGAAGTGCTGAAGTTCCGAAGTTGCCGAATTTCCAAAGTGTCGAAGTGCTGAAGTTCCGAAGTTTCCGAAGTGTCGAAGCACAGTATTGCCTACGTACTAACATACTTACCCAGTGAAAGAAGAAGAATGTTACATTGTATACAATTTTAAATAAAAAGTATACAAACATAGCCAGGATTCAGCTGTAAGCATTTGCAACACAACAATCAAGTAACATACAATGTAATGACAGGAATGAATGAGTAGATAACTCCCTAATACCGTGGGAATTAAGGAGCTATCTACTAAAAGGCTGAAAGACCTAAATTGGTCTTTCAGCCAAATTTACTAATACTAAGTAAAGATTACTTAGTATTAGTAAATTATGCCCCTACTCGCTATACCGCGAGTAGGAGCATGTCTATTAAACAGCGAGTAGCCTATGGCTGCTCACTGTTAAAAAAAAAAAAAAAAAAACAGAATCAGAATAAGTAACCAATGAGAGAGTTATGAGTCAAATTAAACAGCGTGGGAAAATTCCAAAGAACTTTCCCACGCTGTGTAAAATGACACAGAGCACTCTGATTGGTGGATTTTAAACCAATCAATCAGAGTGCTGTAACAGGTAAATGTAGAGACTTACCTGTTAGTCCCTTCATTTACCTGTCAGAACACTCTGATTGGATGGCTTAAACCCACCAATCAGAGTGCTCTGAGCCTAATTGCAGAGCGGGGCAAGGCTTTACAAGCCTTCCTACGCCCTGCAGAGCTCAGTCTGCGCGGAGCCCTCGCCGGGTGAAGATGGATTTTTTTTTGGGGCGCTTTTTTTTTTTTAATAAAAGAGAGCGATAGCATAGAACTCATTGCACAGCCTCCCACACTATCCAGACATTTCATAAATGTTTACACACACATTGTGGCACACACTATATGCACATTTGTGATGAAGCTCCTGTACTCTGACTTAGTACCTCCACCCAAACCACTTCCTAGCTGCTTTCAGGGCCCCTGGAATGCTTCAGCCCTAGTCACCGCATTTCTTCACATATGGAGATAAGGCTGGACCCACTGTGGTACCTAAGTACATAATTTCCCGCAGGCTTATAGCAAACATTTTATGGGCTACAGCATTTTTACAAATGTTTTCCACAATGCCCATGTTAGTGTAATGCTAGGTTTAAAGAACCACTATAGTGTCAGGAAAACAAAGCAGTTTTCCTGACTGACACTATATAATCCTTAGATCCCCCCACCCTCAGGGCCCCCCTCCCCTGTGCTGAAGGGGTTTAAACCCATTCAGCCACTTACCTTTATCCAGCGCCAGGCTCCCTCGGCGCTGGTGACCTCTCCTCCCCCTCCCACGTCAGGTCCCGAGTGGAGCCGAATGCGCATGCGTGGTCAGAGCTGCACGCGCATTAAAAAACACCCATAGGTAAGCATTTTTCAATGCTTTCGTATGGACATTCTGCATGCTCAATGCAATTTTTTTTCAGGAAGACAACCACTAGAGGCTGGATTAACCCTGCAATGTAAACATAGCAGTTTCTTTGAAACTCCTATGTCTACAGCTGCAGGGTTAAAACCTGGGATACCTGGCACCCAGATCACTTCATTGAGCTGAAGTGGTCTGGGTGACTATAGTTGTCCTTTAAACTAACTTCTACATATATATCATTACACTATTTTGGGAAATGTCCATGTTGTGAATTTGATTTATAGCAGACATGTTTATTCATGGATTAATGTCTACAGCTGAATCTAATGTTACAAAAGACATGTTCATTTATTGGGATACAGGTGTCCGTTTCAATAAAAGGTTTCAGTTTGCATGTTGTATATTATTCCTAAAACAGTGAGACTTGTCAGGGTAATATATTTCCTCTTGCCTTCTTTCTAGAAAAGTAGGAACGGATTGTGTGCTTTACCTGCAGGGCAACATAACTCTTTCTAGGTCATGATTTAGAAAAATGTTCTAAAAGGAGAACACACCAGGTAGAATCTCTTCATTCAAAAGTCTATGCTGATTTTACTACTACTCTTATTACCAGTGACAGTTGCAGAGATATTAGCTGTATCTATGGAGGGTCTTGCGAAATTCTCCATAGACCTCAATGCTCCTTAGACCTCTTGCACTGGTGCGAGAGTACAGTAGTGACAGAGGACCGGCCGGAAGGAGATGGCAGCATCCGCGAGGGACAGGCTGTCACCTCCGTCTCTTGCTTTGTTGGTACTGTATCATTAACCCTTTGCCGTTCACATGCAGAAGATGAAGGTGAATTTGCATTAATGGCAATGGAAGCTGTTGTAACAAAAAACTTGTACTCTAGCACTTGATTAGTTAATGCTAATAGAAATATTGATGGTGGTGGTATTAAGTGACAGTAGCTAGCACTGCAACATTATACTAGACCAGGGGTAGGCAACCTACGGCACTAGTGCCATGCACGGCACTCGAGGTGTCTTTCCACGGCACTCAAGGCTGCTAGAGCCAAACAGGCTCTGGCCTATCAGGAGTCTCAGTGAAACTTTAGATATCTGCTAATACGAAGAGGTAGTGAAGGACAATCCTCAATTTATGCATTGCAGCACATAGAGTAAGTGATCTCAGATCACTTCCTCCCAGCACTTGTGAATGGGTATCCACAGTGTAGTAGAGCAGCCCACAGCTGCTGTTGCAGCTCCTGTCCTTGATGTGTACCTGGCCAGCCTGGTCCCCACTTGAACCCAGGGAAGCCACCCACACTGCTAGATATACACAGACCTACAGAATAACCCTCCCCTCATACAAATAACACGAACAGCTCACACACAAACATACACACAATCCCCACAAATGCAACACCACTAACAACCAACATACATGCACACAATCCCACATGCAACCTATCACAAGCAATACCCCAAACAGCCCCCACACATACACACACTACCAAACACACAATGTGACATATCCATCCACACACAATTCCACAAGTAGCCCTCATACACAGCCCACATTCATATTTATCATACACGATACCATAAACTACTGATGAACATATACAATATAATAGCTCATATACGCACAAATACAACGATACAAAGCAATTGCAGTAAAAATAACACAAGCAGAATATGGCAGCATATACACCTCAGTTTAAAAAAATTAGATCGGCACGCTACGGGACATCACAATCCTATATCGGCACAGTGCTGCTAAAAGGTTGCCTACCCCTGTACTAGACATATACAACAGTGTCACACTAGGATGAATGAAGCAGGCTTACTCCATTTACAAAACACACCAAAAAAGGATTTTCTTTCTACAAACAGTTAACAAGAAAACATTTTAAAAACTGTATATTAAGTGCCACTGGCAGTAAGCTAAACTTAGTGTCACACTAGAATGAATGACCCATTCCACTCCCACACAGGCACAGCAAGGGTAAAACACACAGTATTGCTTCTCGTCTCTCTCCATCAGTAGCTGCAATAAAAGTGTCTGGTAGAATCCTTCTTGGAAGTATACATTATTTTACTGCTCCTCTTTTTTCCATTCTATTGGCCAGTTGTCATTTGATCTGTGACTACAATCAACATTTAGTGGCTGTCCCCCCGGCCATCAATCATCTTATTTTTCCCACCTCTTGATTCGACAATTTCCCCCCCTCCCCCCACCTTTCTGTATTTCATCTGATTAGCCCGAATTTGGCTGAATTACAGTTTAGCCCCAAATGATTATTTTACCATACAGCGCTACCAAAGTTTGACTTTATTATTTTCAACATGGCCCAGACTCTATCAACAATTGGGATGAAGAAAGAAAAGACACATGAAACACTGCACCTTTATACATCACGGCTACTTAAACTACTCCTCCACTATATTTATGGCCTATAACACTTCTTCTCTCATATTAATCCTCCCACAGAAATTCTCAAAGCTACTTAATATCGCAGGAATTTATTTCACATGACTAACCTACAATATCATCTATAAAGTTGCTAGCTAAACATACAACTAATCCCTGCACTCCGAGGACTATAATACCTGCAATCTATTCAGCGTGTTACTACTCGTTTTATTGGCTACACACCCAGTATGTCACTTGCACTCCACCTATCATTTTCCTTTTTAGATTGTATGCTTGCAGACCAGGTTTGGAAAAGGTATCCAATCATTTGGCTTCTGTCTGCTACATTAAGCACCATTTGTTCAATGTATCCAGCTCTGCAAAATATGAAGGTACTATTTAAATAAGTCTAAATAATGATAAATGTGCATATCTCTGTGATATATCTCTGTGATGATTATTTTGTGCATACACATGCAGCACCAATAAGGTACCTCACTGATGATACCTTACAAGGTTGAAACGATCGTCTGGGGTTGCTGTATCTCTCGTGGAGAGGGAACTTGCTGGCATTTTGGATCTGGACTGCCCGTACGGGTAGGACCAGTCTGATATGCGTCATTTATGTTCTCTCTGTAATGGCACAAGTTGAGCTAAAACCAGCTTGAGATCTGAGCGGGGACCCACTTAAGGACAGGCTAATTGAGCTGTTGTCCATTCTCACCTCTCTTGCTCCTTATTTTTCTGACATGCAGCACCAGTGCACCACACCATCGAAGAGACAAGAGCACTCTATTGAATAATGCTCACACAGTTTGGTAATGACTGCTGAGACCCGGATATGTAATCCCGACTCTCTGATGGACAAGGATTCTAGGTTCTTAGCTTTATCAACCTGTTGTGACAAATTCTACAGGAAGTGGAACCGAACTGAAAGAAAGCAGAGATGGCATACTAGCACCATAACCAGTTCAATAAGCTAAAAATAATTATGGTGCCTAAAATGCCCCTTAAAGTCCTGACAAGCATGCACGGTTTCCCTAAATTATGAAAATGCTCTGGCCTTCTGATAAGCGCTATATTTTTGACTCTCCAGCCATCGTTCTGTAGGGACAATATTATATATATATATATATATATATATAAAAATTGAGAATAATCTTGCACTCCACCTTCTTAATTAATATAATGCCCGGTGCTTGTCAGCCAAAATACAAAAAAAGTTTCCAAAGATAGCACTCCAGGGACTTGAAAAAAGTTCGCTTTAATTACCTTCCAAACATCCAAAATGTCAACGTTTCAGCCCAATAACCTTAGGCTTTCATCAGGACATAATGTGTATACAGATAAACCCACATTTATACCATAACATAAGTAATAACTCACCACACTTGTGAAGTGACTGACTCCATGGACGCCCGGACCGGGACCGGGACAGCCGCACGGCGTCACGTTCAATGACGCGGCCAAAGGTCGTCACCATAGCAACCTAACAAAACAAATGTGATATAACACACTACTCTAATTATAAAAACAATGTATCCACTATCTTGCGCTATTTTCATGGGGATATAACCTTTACATTATTTCTACAGTATATAAATCTAACCATTATATTATTTACAGCATGTTTAATATATAAATTAAACTGAACGGCTGAATAAGCCATCGGCTGAGTTAACCATAGCTACCAATAACTCCGAATTTATACAATTAGGCTTGTCAAACTAACCAAATAAAAATCCTATCAGAATCACACGGGAAAAGGGTCAGTTTCAAGGACATAGATATAGATATAAACATGAGGCTTACCTAATCCAAAAATATCCATTGTGTATCTCCATATTAACACATTAATTTACTAGAAAAATATCCAAAATTACCACTCACATCATGATTACAATGAAAACAAACCCTTTTAAAGATAAGGGAGTGGAGATGGGATTTTTTAGATATGTTTAAACAAAAAATTTTTTTCAAAACTATCCCATAACAATTCTATCAACCCAAGTTGCCACGGGTCAATGAGAGGTGACACCTTCACGTAGATGGACAGCCAATGTTCTCAAAATTAATGACCAAAGGAGATAAGTATACATTGTGGCCAGAGAAGTATAAACCTGTATGCCTATCCCCCAGGGTGGGCATAACATAGTTCTTCTCATTGCCATCGCTGTAAAAACAAATGTATTACTTATAAAAATGCAGACAGAGAATATTTTTCATTAAGACCTTCTGGATATACTGTTCTCAATGTTCTAATCCAAAACAGTTCTCGTTGTAACAACAACTTCTTGCGGTCGCCTCCCCTACGAAGAGGAGGTATGTGGTCAATTGCCATCAGTTTTAAAGTTGGGAGCATGTGTCCTTTCTCCAAAAAGTGTTTGGCCACAGGTAAGTCCGATTTCTGGTCTCTGTATGCCACCCTTATACTAGATCTATGATTGCGAATCCGTTCGCGCAAGGGTAGATCCGTCTTGCCAATATACGTGAGTCCACAAGGGCAGGTTAGCTTGTAGATTACAAAATCAGTGGTACAAGTTAAACGGTGTCTAATAATGTATTTCTTCCCTGTATGGGGATGGGTAAACGATTTGCCAGATAGCATGTGCCCACAAGTGACACAGCCCAGGCATTTATAACAACCCAAGTTGACAAAATTTTGTTTACCCTCATAGCAATGTATAGGGTCCGTCTTCACTAACAGATCCTTCAAATTTTTATTTCTCCTATAGCACATCATGGGCGGTTGGCGAAATATTTCGGGTAAAGACATGTCATTCCTCAAAATCCTCCAATTTTTCTCAATCATTTGCTTAAATTGTGGAGAAGCTGTGGTGTATGTTGTTGGAAAGACCAATTTCTTTCTCGATGAAGCTTCCAAATTGGCTTGTGATAGATAGCACTTATCAAGCGCTTTACGTAGCACACACTCAGTGTAGCCACGTTGTTGGAACTTTTTCCACATAAGGCCCAATTGTTCCTCGGCCTTAGCCGAGTTGTTTCTCATGACCCTAAGAAATTGAGAATATGGTAGAGAATGTTTGAGAGCATTTGGATGAAAACTATTTGCTTGAAGTAGAGTATTGCGATCAGTTGTTTTTGTAAAGAGCGTATATGCCAACTTATTGCCTTCCCGTATGATCCGTACATCTAGGAAGTCCACTGTAAGCGGGTCCATTGTCATGGTTAACTGTACATTCAATGTACATGAATTAATATACTGGACCATAGATTCTGCAGTACTGTTATCTCCCTTAATGATCATAAAAATGTCGTCGATGTAACGACCGTATGATAAAATGATGTCATTAAAAGGTTCCAATATATGTTGGGTTTCAAATTCAAACATGTATCCATTTGCATACATCGGGGCCATAGCCGCCCCCATAGATGTACCTGCTGACTGTCTGTACCACTCAAGTTCAAATCGAAAATAATTTTGTGTCAACACCAATTCCAAAATTTCCATGACATATTCAATTGGAGGTCCCATATACTTGTCTGAAGAAACAAGAATTCGTTTCATAGCCTGAACTCCCCCCTGTATGGGGTATGATCGTATACAAACTCTTCACGTCGCAAGTGACTAGTGTTATCAGGCCAGTTGGTAAGGATATTGTGGAAATCATTTTCAGGAAGCTTGGAGTATCCTTAATGTATGTTGGTAAGCTTTCAATTGATTTCTTAAATAGGAAATCCAACCACTTTGCCAGTGGTTCTAAAATGCCCCCTACAGCCGACACAATTGGTCTCCCCGGGGGGGCCTGAAGATTTTTATGGATCTTGGGGAGTGTATAGATCACTGGGGTTCTTGGGTTGGATTGATGTAAGAATTCCCACAGGTCCTGATCAATGAACTTTTCTTCCAGACCCCTTAGTAGAACTGCATCTATCAGGAGCTTGACTTGAGGTGTCGGGTCACAACTTAATTTTGAATAAGTGTGGAAATCCGATAGTTGTTGTAATATTTCTAATCTATATTTCACATAGTCTTGAATAACAATCCCCCCACCTTTGTCTGCTGACCTGATGACAATATTTTTATCCGCAGCCAAGGACTTAATAATCTCCCAATCCAATTTTGAGCAGTTGGAGTGATGGGAGGGGGTACTCTTCAAATGATCCGTAGTTTCTTTTTGTACTGATCTTAAAAAACTTTTTATGGTGGCTTGATTAGGCAAAGGGTCAAATGTACTTTTTTTCTTAAAATTGCCATTGTAATCATCTGGTAGACTAGCTTTATTCTTAAAGAAATCTTTTAATCGCAAAGATCTACCAAATTTATATAATTCATAATATATGTTACAACGAGAACTGTTTTGGATTAGAACATTGAGAACAGTATATCCAGAAGGTCTTAATGAAAAATATTCTCTGTCTGCATTTTTATAAGTAATACATTTGTTTTTACAGCGATGGCAATGAGAAGAACTATGTTATGCCCACCCTGGGGGATAGGCATACAGGTTTATACTTCTCTGGCCACAATGTATACTTATCTCCTTTGGTCATTAATTTTGAGAACATTGGCTGTCCATCTACGTGAAGGTGTCACCTCTCATTGACCCGTGGCAACTTGGGTTGATAGAATTGTTATGGGATAGTTTTGAAAAAAATTTTTTGTTTAAACATATCTAAAAAATCCCATCTCCACTCCCCTATCTTTAAAAGGGTTTGTTTTCATTGTAATCATGATGTGAGTGGTAATTTTGGATATTTTTCTAGTAAATTCATGTGTTAATATGGAGATCCACAATGGATATTTTTGGATTAGGTAAGCCTCATGTTTATATCTATATCTATGTCCTTGAAACTGACCCTTTTCCCGTGTGATTCTGATAGGATTTTTATTTGGTTAGTTTGACAAGCCTAATTGTATAAATTCAGAGTTATTGGTAGCTATGGTTAACTCAGCCGATGGCTTATTCAGCCGTTCAGTTTAATTTATATATTAAACATGCTGTAAATAATATAATGGTTAGATTTATATACTGTAGAAATAATGTAAAGGTTATATCCCCATGAAAATAGCGCAAGATAGTGGATACATTGTTTTTATAATTAGAGTAGTGTGTTATATCACATTTGTTTTGTTAGGTTGCTATGGTGACGACCTTTGGCCGCGTCATTGAACGTGACGCCGTGCGGCTGCGGACGTGCGTCGGTCAGCCGGCGGCAGTCCCGGTCCGGGCGTCCATGGAGTCAGTCACTTCACAAGTGTGGTGAGTTATTACTTATGTTATGGTATAAATGTGGGTTTATCTGTATACACATTATGTCCTGATGAAAGCCTAAGGTTATTGGGCTGAAACGTTGACATTTTGGATGTTTGGAAGGTAATTAAAGCGAACTTTTTTCAAGTCCCTGGAGTGCTATCTTTGGAAACTTTTTTTTATATATATATATATTTATATAAACACATACATACACACACTCTCTCTCGAATTTAAAATAATACTATTAAAAAACAAAAAACACTTATGTATAGAGATGTGCTTTGTTTAATAAAGCTGGTACATGATTCTTCAGCCTATTTCAATCAAGACAGGCATCTTTGATTACTGGGTTTCCTTATCTTTACTAGTAATGTCTGTCACCGGAGGCTACATTTAATCAAGATGTGATGCTATGTAATGGCGGCCTCTGAACTTTAAAATGATGGTCTTTAGAAAAAGTAACTTGAGAAGTGATTCGTCACGAATAATTCATTTAAACCTAAAAAGCTAATTAGCTAAAAAAGAAAGACTTACAGATTCAGATAGTGAGCTGGTTTATCTTAAAATACAAAGAGAACAATGGGGAAACATATGCACCGGTTAAAGAGGTAGTGATGCATGGCTTGTTTTTTTTTTTGTAAATATATTTTTATTGAAGAGTTTTTATTCAATAGAGAACATAGAGAAAATAATAAACAAATAAATGGAACCAAAATTACAAGATAGGACCCAAAAACCTAAGTCAAAGAATAGCGAGACATGCAGGTCTCAAGCAAAGTGGGCAAACAGAGACAAAAGAGCATTAATGACCCTATTCAAATGTAGATCTCAAATAATGGTAAGTGAAGAGAATAAAATGTACAGATACACAAAAAAAACCCCACAAACAGTGACTAATATACATCAATAATCATATAAGATATTATTTTCGTCAAAGGTTAGCTCGTTTGAGCAGTGTCCTCATCAACCTATTATTCCTGTAACATTTTGTATTTGTCTCATTTATGTTACATTTCCCCCTTAAATATTGTATAGCGCTGTGGAATAAGTTGGCGCTATATAAATGCGAATAAAAATAATCAATGATAGAGTATATTTTCTGGATATTTGCTCCATTGTACATAGTACTAAAAACAATTTTAGCATTCCTTCCTATGCACTCCTCCCCTCTCCCCGAAATCTCCATTTTAATATTTCAGAAGTGTAACAGTAAACAGAATAGCACTGAGAAAACTGTTCAGTATATATTTTTGACTGCAGTTTTGAGTAACATTATCACAATTTGTTGCAAAAAGGGAAAAAAGAATAGAATGCAGAAGGAGAAAGATCCCCAATGCCCACCATCACTCCACCCAGCTTCCCCCTCATCTTCAACTTTGTATCTTCTATGTACATCTAAGCGTAATGCCAATATTTGCTAACTTTAGGACAAATAGCACTAGATAAATTAATATCGGCACTCTTGGCTCCAGTTTTCCCTAATCTAATTTAAATCTCACAGGAAAGATGACACAAGATATGTATTGTAACACCTTTTATGTGCTCCTATGGATGCAGCACAGGCCGTGGCATGTCAGACTGGGCAGAGATGCAGGTCCGAATGCATGATGTCCCATGTTGCAACAGACATGGTAGCATCATGTAAAATCATTATCAGGTGCAGATGTGCTGACACATTTACTTAATCTGTGGAATTACATAGTAAACTAACATTACTAAAACTGAGGATATACATAATGGTGACACAAGCTTTGGAAAATTATGGCAGTAATTACATCAGGAAACTTGATGATATGGCTAAACATACAAGACCTACCTTGAACTCTGCCCATTGTAACTTCCTTGCATATTGATACTAATCTTCAGCTGCCTAACCCAGATCTATGACAATCTAACCTTTTATTTTCCTTATCTTTTACCTCAGACATTTCCTCTTACCACTAGGGGTTACAAGTACCTTGAGGCTGCTACTGATGTTTCTTTATCATTTCAAAAAATTAGTCCAGCTCTTCTGCCACTTTGCACTTATCAATGAAGTTCCAGGAAAAGTGTGCCTAGTTAATTGTGGATTTATATTAAGTACTTTCTTTTGTCACATTTTGCTAACAAGAACACTGAGCTTCATTACAGTAACACCACCACTAGGGATTTATAAACCAGCTTAGGCCTCGGTCACACTGTTATGTTAAATTCTTTCAACCATTGCGTGTAGCATAAGGAGGTTTAAACTAAAGTGAAAGAAATATACCACGATATATAGGTAAAGTCTGTCAAAATATGAAGAATGTGAAAAAAAACTCCACTTTTGTTTTAGTGTTTGTGAGGTAACACTTTGAACAAAAAGGTGGAGGAATATAAAATAATTACTATAGAACACACAGGGTATAAAGTAGCGTCAAAACAAAATACAATATGATACAACCAGGTAACAGGATAAAATGTGAAAAAAAAAAAAAAAATCTTGAATATGTTAAACCTGATATATACAGTTGCAAGAAAAAGTATGTGAACCCTTTGGAATGATATTGATTTCTGCACAAATTGGTCATAAAATGTGATCTGATCATCATCTAAGTCACAACAATAGACAATCACAGTCTGCTTAAACTAATAACACACAAAGAATGAAATGTTGCCATGTTTTTATTGAACACACCATGTAAACATTCACAGTGCAGGTGGAAAAAGTATGTGAACCCTTGGATTTAATAACTGGTTGAACCTCCTTTGGCAGCAATAACTTCAACCAAACGTTTCCTGTAGTTGCAGATCAGACGTGCACAACGGTCAGGAGTAATTCTTGACCATTCCTCTTTACAGAACTGTTTCAGTTCAGCAATATTCTTGGGATGTCTGGTGTGAATCGCTTTCTTGAGGTCATGCCACAGCATCTCAATCGGGTTGAGGTCAGGACTCTGACTGGGCCACTTCAGAAGGTGTATTTTCTTCTGTTTAAGCCATTCTGTTGTTAATTTACTTCTATGCTCTGGGTCATTGTCCTGTTGCAACACCCATCTTCTGTTGAGCTTCAGCTGGTAGACAGATGGCCTTAAGTTCTCCTGCAAAATGTCTTGATAAACTTGGGGATTAATTTTTCCATCGATGATAGCAATACGTCCAGGCCCTGACGCTGCAAAGCAGCCCCAAACCATGATGCCCCCACCACCATACTTCACAGTTGCGATGAGGTTTTGATGTTGGTGTGCTGTGCCTTTTTTTCGCCACACATAGTGTTGTGTCTTTCTTCCAAACAACTCAACTTTGGTTTCATCTGTCCACAGAATATTTTGCCAGTACTGCTGTGGAACAT